TCAGTGGGTATATGATGCATGAATACTATGTTTTGTGGGTATCTGGTGTATGGATACTGGGTTTGGTAGGTATCCAATGTATGAATACTGGGTTTGATGGGTATCCAATGTATGAATAGTGGGTTTGGTAGGTCGCCAATGTATGAATACTGGGTTTGGTGGGTTTCTGATGTATGATACTGGGTTTGGTTGGTATGTGTTGTATGATACTGGGGTTTGTTCGGGTATACAATGTTTGTATACTGGGTTCGGTGGGTATTTTATGTACAGATACTGGGTTTGGTTGGAATCAAATGGATACTGATTTGGTTAATTTATTTTAACATAAAAAGGAAGTTGAGGAAAGGATATAAAGGTTAGACATGCAATTTTACTGCAAGCACAGTAATGACTCAGTTTAGTACATGAATGTTAGTTGATTACTGTTATAGTAATATAATGAGACAATACTGTGACTGTAGTAAACTTACATTAATACTGTGCGCCAACACAGTTTGATCAGCCGATCCACTGAATACTAATTTACGATGTACCTGGCAGATAGATAAAAATCACACAAATCAAATCACTCTGATGTAGATAAAATTTACTAAATCGAAAAAGTTCTCTCAAAGACCTTTGTGAAATGCATTAGACATAAACAGTCATTCTCTATGGAGGTGTGGCTATCCAAATTGTAGATGCTAAATTAACTTTGTTCATGTAAATACAAGTATGCTAATGAACAAATAACAAAGGGAAGAGTAGTTACTTCTTTACTCAATGTTTAACAAACATCCTATACTTGTTTTCTCTGTTCTAGAATTTTACTAGCAATCACCAGAAAACTGGGATGAGGGAGAGTGCTAGTTAGTAGTGGTAAAGCCAAATTTTCAATTTCAACAGTGAAATATATTCAGAATTTCCCATCATAGGTGTGGGTCGCTTTTGTTCTAGTAAAGTTCATTATATTGACTTGAAATCAAGCTATGCTTTTAAAGACAGTTAAAACTAGGACTTTGATAACCTCACCAGTATATATGTGTATGTATGTGCCCATCATGTGAATGGCATGTCTATAGAAGAAATAACACACTGCATACACATATGGTAAATTTATCATGTGAACAAGGCATGACAGTACCCCTCAAGGCAGTGATAATTAGCCAGTGATTTATGTTAAAGTAACTTGAAAAAATATACAGACAGACTTACTTGCAAGCACAGTACTTTACTTGAATGGCTTGGTGTTAACTCCTTCAGTACACGCCCCTTTGTTGCACATTGCACCATCAGAGCCTTGTCAGAGCTGATCACTAAAGTAAGTGGTTTACACAAAGATCCCATCACAATACAGTCCACAGAACTCCCACTGTTGGATAGCATCTTTTTTTTACTTTTCTTTTGGTTTTTATTCTGAAATTGGTTTTAATAGTAAGAAGAATGGACAATAAATAT